TTAATCACTGCAACTGGACCAACTAAAATACTAACTACTAACGGTTGAACCACCACTAGCTTCAACAAGTAGGCTTTGGGAACCAAAGCATGAATTTGAGGGTTCTTTCATCCTTTGGGTATGCTAAGAAATAAGGCTTCAAGGAACAAGCCATGCCTTACACTGGAAATACCCCCAAAAGTAGGTTTGTGGGCATTTAAGCATTCCTTTAAGGCATTGCTCATGTACCTGTTGAAGATTTTGACTCTCGATGCCTTTGTGAACTTTAACTTTACATACTTGGGTTAAAGGTATGCATCCAAGTAGTTTGTTTACCCCTTTTGATTAACTGGGGATGCCTTTAGAGGTTGTGCTTCATTAACCATGAATGGGCTAACCTTTATTGTCTCACTTCAAGTGCTTCATGTTTCTGTGAATAATGGTGTCAAGGACACTATAAGCACATGCTAAGAGACAAACACAAGGCCTATGGCTCAATGTTTGCCATGATGATCTGGCCCCTATGGCATGAGCAGAAATCTAGGGTCTCCCTGAATGTGTTGACTAATAACAAGCCTTTGTCACAATTCACACACGAAATGGAGGAGAAGAACCAGACACAACTGCTTTCTTAATGTTAAGAGAAAATCTAAGATGGTTGCACTAATCGAGCACATTGCAGGAATGGGTAGTTGCTTGCAGTGCATACCTAGAACAACCAAATATATATTGATTTAGTGTCATGAGGTGGTCTATCCCTGTTGGTGACTTGGAGTCTGAAATGCACACCAAACCAGTGCGGTTCTTCGATATATGATTCCATCCCCCAATCGCCTGGCACCTTCACTTCACATCGAGGACGTCGATGGAGCTACCACCAGGTGATTGCGTAGTAGTGACCTCCATCTATGTGGCACTTAACATGCATGCATTTCAGGATTCTCCACCCGTGCTTCAATTGTCATATCACCAACTTGCCACCACCACTTGCCCCGCCACCCGCCACCAATTATAAGGAGAAGTTGTATGCCCCCATCTTTGCAGGTGCCTTGAGGATTTGTTATTTCTTCTGTTGTAAGTTGTAACATATTGTTTTCCCCCATCCACCTTAGACCTTGACTATTTGACATTTTATTAATTTTTTGACACTGTCTCAATATGTGAGGCAATAATTAGGAAGAAATGTCCCTAGTAATCTATGTTCCCCACCCCAACCTTTCTCAATATGTGAGGAATAATTAGGAAGAAATGTCCCTAGTAATCTATGTTCCCCACCCCAACCTTTCTGCATCTCCTAATCTGCGCTTGTTCGACCAAACTAGAGTAGACCATGGCATTAGAGGTCTTTAGGATGAAGGCAACAAAGCCCCCTAGGGTGAGATAGAACATAGTGGTGTTGGAGAACATACACCGCAGCATGGTCGGTGGGTACATTGAGGTTTGTGTGAGGTCGGATCCTTGTACGCGACCTTATCTCCTTATAGCGACTATCAATAGGCAATAGAGCATTGCTCGACAATGCAGTTAACAAAGCCGGATGGTTCAACCCTTTTGGCAATGAGTGCGACAAGGTCATTGTCAAAGTGTGGCACACATGGGTCCCATGTGACAGCACATCAATGTGACATCGATGCATCAAGAGACATCTTTCGCCCTTTGCAGCACTGTCCCAATGTACCATTTGTGAAGTATATTGAGCACGGATCGACATGCCTCCTTTCGCCATCAAATCTGTGGACGGTGTATCCCCTAGCTTAGTCAGAATTGGACGAATGAAATTAGAGAAGGGATTTTCCGTCCACACAACTGCCAAGGTCCCCGCATCCATGTAGGTCACCACCACCGTGCCTCAGCTCCGTCGGAGGTGGAGCGGGATGAAAAACTAAATTAGGCTTTACTAATCTGCATTGTTGGCCTGATTAGAAGATCTTCCATTTCACCAGGAAGGCTACTTCTTCATTTTCGCGAATACGCAAAGCTTGTGTATCATTGCATTGATAGAAGGAATATAATGATTACAGATGGGGTACAACACATGACATGAACGCAGGCATGCGTGAACATGATGCCCGGAGCATAAAGGTAAGGGATGCTCGGCTCGAACAGGGGATACATCACAGCTAAAACCTACCGAACCCGAACCAAGTGTGGCAACGCCGAACCAACAAAAGCACCAACATCTCGAGAACCAAAACCGGGGACACCGCAAGCGAGTAAGATGTCGCCTTCAAGAAGGAGCACAACGCTGAGATGCAGTCGCTATCCGGTCCGGAGGAACTAGACCTAGCATTTCCCCTGAGCTCGAAGAGGGGCGCAACCAAGGGCCTTGACAGCGCCTCCAAGAAGGAAACGACATCCGCGGATGCGGCCGCTGCCAGCATCGGCAAGCCGAGCAGGGATTTCTCCCTGGCCCGAGGTTGAGCAATCCCATAGATGCCGTATCTAGAAGCGAAGATGAGGAAGCCAATGCCGGTTAGAGCCACCATGTCGGAAGGGGGTTCGATGGGATACATATGCCGTCGAAGGGTAGCACCGCCTCCGAACCCACGAGCATGGATCTAGCAAAACTGAAGGCTTTGAGACATACAATATAGGGCGGGCGGCGAAGCGAACCACGAGGGGGTTGGGTAATGGTGATCGGTAACACCGGCAAGCAAGGACTGGAGGGACGCAGATCCTGGCTACCGTGGCCATAGTCGTCGGGTCATCGGGGAGCCAGGCGAGTTGGAAGGAACGCAGTTGCTTGGTCGCTAAGGCCGGAGCCGCCCGGCAGAGGATGCCGGCTGCCTAGGACACCGGAGGGGCGCAGGTCAAAGGTCGTCGGGGCCGAAGCAGCACCATCCAGCACTTGCCTTGAGGGCTTCATGACTGCCACCAGCACAGTAGACTCGTCGCCACCGCGAGAGCCGTTGCCGTGGCTCGGGGGAGAGGACAGGTCGCCGGTGACGAGGGGGGCCGCCTGCAGGAAGGCACGCCGCGGAAGCCCTTGTTACCGGCCGCAAAACCCACGCCCAAAGCATGGGCGGCAGCACCAACAGGGTTGGGCCACGCACAGAAAGGAGGGAGGACTGCAGGGGACGTCGCCGTGTGGCTGAGGCCGCATGCCATGCCCGTTGCCAGACCGGCAGAGATGTGCAGCAGCTAGGAGGGGGGCGCCTGCGCAGGAGATCCGTGACGCAGGGTGGGTGGGGGAGCGACCAGGGGACGGATCCATCCCGCCGCCGTCTTCCCGAGGCGCAGCACGACCATGGTGGTCGGCCCCCCGGCGGCGGCGCAGCGGAAGTGAGCGTGGAGGCGGTGCGTCCTGCGGCGACATCGGAGCTGGGGGGTTGGCCGTGGAGGGGAGGCGCGAGGGGAGGAGGGGAGGAACGAAATCACCCCATCGCCGCCATCCCGGGGCGCGCACGGCTTCGCCGGCCGGTCGTCCAGCGTCTGCGGAACGGGGGCAGGCGAATGGGGGGGGGGTGTTTCCCGGCGGCGGCAGATGCGGTTTCCCCCGTGTTGCCAGGGAGGGCGACGCGGGGGCGGAGCCTCGATCACATTCCGGTTAGTTGCCTTTGATATTGCGAAGATGTCCAAGGCAATGTCCTTTTGCTTAAGGCTACTTCTGATCCATGAAGGAAGAAAATGAGTGATTCAACAATCATTCTCTAAACCAAATGGCCCAATACTAGCATATTTTCTTTCTTCTCCTTTTTTTGGCGGGAACACGAGGCTCTTTCCCCTTAGGAGAGAGCACCGAAGGATATGTACCTTAGGTATGGACAAAAAAAAAATCCTTTTTAAATGTAAAACTAGTGTCCAAAATAATTTGGTTCACTAGGCAACCTCATCTGTGGTAGCTAATAAGCAACCTACCATAGTAGTTTTTTTAGAAAAAGGGGGAGATCCCCCGCCTCTGCAACCTACCATAGTAGTAATCCGTGGTAACTATAAATTATGGTGGAAGAACATATCCTGCTCTCATTGAGTATATGAGTATAGTATGTATAAAGTGGCACCATTAATGTGCACCAAATAAATAGTATATCGTAGTATGATACAGTTGGGAACTTAATAATATTCTTTTATATAGAAAATTATTTTCTTCAATAAGAGCTAGGGTGTCTTGTCTGGGTTGTGATTCTCTACAGTACTGCACCCTGCTGTAGTGCAGATGGCAGGTGGGGTCGGGTCCACATGGAAGCGACCATACTGCACCATAGCCTACCGTAGAGGATCCTAACCCGTCTTATCTGGGGTAATTAACAAGCAAGGCCACTACAGTAAATCATGTGGGAAATTCCACTAGTACCATTAATTGGTGCCAATTATATTTATAGAAGTACTAATACAATAGAACTAGGACTCCCTGGCGAATGTTCGCTTGGCAAACAGAAGGGGTCCGCTGGCAGTTTTCACTGCATTTGAGGGGTGTGGGGCTGGCAGTTTTAGAAACTGTCGTGGTAGTTCTTTCCATTAGGGGGCAATTTTTCTAGACTTGTTGGCAAAAATTGCAAATCATGGGATGGAGATTGTGCAGCCAAGAGGGGAGGGGTCCGCTGGGGCTGGTCTCCAGGGAAGCATGATTTGACAACTTATTTCACGCACAACCCTAGCGAGGAGGAGGACGACTAAATGTCGCACGTGCGCTAAATGTCTACTGTGCAACCTCTTAATGGGAAACAAGAGAGTCACCATATCTCGATCTAGATATGATCTTCACACCAAAACCAGAATACTCATATATTCTCTCTCATTAGACCCATTAAATGAGAGATCTTTTTGACATAACAATAATATACAATCCACCCGAGGGGCTATATCCAAACACATACTATTAAATATATATGATATAGTTTATGATATTTGTGTAAAGAATTAATATACGGGTGTAAATGTATTACTCTGTATACTGCTTTACCTATCAATATGCATTCATAGCAGTAAATTAATTATCAGTTTTAAATAGGATGCATGATATGTACACTGTAGATGTAAACAATGATATGCGGGGCTGGCATAAATAATTAATTAATTACCTGTTCATCTAAGAAGCTGAGGAAAAGGCTCCTGTCACGTTGACGGCCGCCAAGAGCAATGGTGGCAGCATCGTCCTCCCATATCTCTTTGCCGCTGTCTATCCCCCTGCTACGATGGAATTGGGATGCCGTTCGCACGTAATCGTCAATGGCCTTGGATTTGCCTTTGTTATCCATCTCTCTGTAAAAATTTACACATTGTCAGCGTGTAAAAACATGGTTCTTTTCCTCACAGGAAAGCTACATGCACAAGTTTAGTCCATTCAAGCAAACAAGAGCAAGAAACATGTTTGCACCCAAAATAAGTGAACATGTACCAGTACGAAATTCAGATCTAATTGGCTAGAAGTAACAAGTCCAAGAAAACATGATAGATCTAGATAAAATATGCACAAGATAATACAAGGGAGTGGTACTCAGTGAACAGGAAATTAACTACGCACAAGATCTGATCTAAACTCTTGTATTGCATACTTAGCCTAACTATTCTGATTCAAAGGAACACAAGCATGAATTCAACATGCCCACTTACTAAACATGGGCCAGAGAAAACTATATAGCGACTGAAAAAAGTCAGATCTAGCACAAGAAACATCAAGGAGAGGAGACATGGATTAGATCTAGAGTAGTTAAGAAGCACAAGATATGGAGTATATACAACTTGCCTTGCGAGAAATTGAAGGACAGTCCGGTGGAGTATACAAGTAGTAGAGGATCTTCCGTGGTTCAAAGCAACACCAATATGCAATTAGTCCATGTTGGAACCAGAAGAGGATGTTCTCGGGTTTAAAGGAACACGAGTAGAGCCCGGAGGAGTGTACTGAATGACTTTTTTGAGAATGTGATTTTGGGAGCGAGAGAGATATAAACCGGGGGAGGGAGGGAGAGGTGCATATCAGTTTCAACTGGAGAGTTGCCACGTGTATGTGAGGCCAGGGATTAGGCGTACGTTACTATTGCGCTGCTTTCCAGCCGTCCGCTGCAGAAAAGGACACAAGAAAATATATTTTTGGGAGACCCTCGAGACTTTATGCATACTCACCACTATTACTGTACATTGCTTTGAATCAAAGATCCAAAAAATTACAAAGTAACTAATACTATATATAACTAGTAAATGCGTACATCAGGTCCATATCTGTAGGGTATTAATTGAGATTTAAAAAAAGTGCTAGTATTAGATATATGCTGATATTAGGTAAGATATTAATTACAGGTTAATATTTGGGATCGCATTGATTGCAGCTAAACATATTAAGCGCTCAACACCGAAGCAATTTAGGTCGTTGAATGCATATGGTTTGATGACCGATATTAGTTTGATCTGCCCCTTTGGATCTTTTAGTGGTGGTATAGATTAAGAATTACAATAAAATCTTTTGGAAATAGTTTCTTCGTGGTATCAATCTTTGCAAGATGAAATGCCCCCTCCCCCCCTCCCAGCTTGATTATTAATAATGGTTTTTGAAAGCCCCATCAGTCATCCACCAAATATACGGGAAGCCTTGTACAATGAATGTACTTGAGTATGGATGATCTCAATCTTCACCATAATGTCGAAGAAAGATTCAAACTGCATATAAAATATGACCAACAAAAGGAACATCACACAATAACCTAAACTCGCCTTATCAGAATAGTGGGCTTTGCGAGGACACTCGCCTCTCTAGGTTCACGACACAGAGAGGCGAGTGTCACCGGGCGAAGCCCGAGCGGCCGTTGTCCGCGGGATGAGACCACGGGATGTTCCATTAGAAAGTTAGACAAGTGGAAGTGAGATAGAGGTAAAAACAAGAAGAAAAATGACGGACGAAAAAAACATGGTCTTTCCTGACTTGGGCGACGTGAGGGTTCCACCTACCAGCCATAGACCTGTCCCAAACTCCTTCCTCCCCGCATTGTAGTCGGAGGGTGCCACCGGGCGAAGCCCGAGCGGCCGTTGTCCGCGGCGGGGTGCTCTCTTGCGGGGCTCCTAGTTATACGGGCGACGTAGCTTGGTGGCAGTCAGTGGTGTCCCGAGGTGCACGCGATTGGGCCAGCGTCGGTAGGCTCGACGACAGGCGGCATGCCGCGGGGCAGGCTCGTGGTGGCAGGACTAGGCGTGCTCAGGGTGGTGATTTCGACCGGACGTGGTTGTGGCTCTATTGGTCCCGAGCAGTCTAGATCGTTCTCCTCTTTGGCCTGGACACGTGGCGGTATTCCTCGAAGGGCACACAACGCCGGAACAAGCCTAGAGGGGCGACGCGAAGGACCATGGCGACCGGCAGGCGGTGGCTGAGTCGTCAATGAAGTTTCTTCGGCAGGGTTCCTAGGATAGGGGTGTAACGGGATTTGAGGGTGCGGCCTCAGCCGGATCTGGAGCTGCCGAATTTGGCTCCATAGTGGTTGTTGCCCTGGTTGTGTGGTGTGTTGCCGTGGTGGCTTCAGTGGTGGCACATAGGTCGTGTCTTGTATGCGTGCTACTAGGTGTCGCCGGCAAGCCCTGTCCTCGGCCACACCGTTTGTTTTGGGGCTAGATCCAGGTCAGATCGGGCCACATTGCCAGAGGTTCCCTCTTCGTGTGGCTGGTGGCGGTCTAGCTCCAAGCCAATGATGTTCACACAAAAGTGCTTCCTTGGTGGCAGTCTTGTGTTGCGGTGGCAGTGGGGTGGCGATCTTGGATGCCGAGGCAGCGGTCCTAGATTGTGTGCTACAGAGATGGGCCCTTCGATGAGCAGCGTGGTAGCTGGTGTTGGCAAGGTGCGTTGTGGTGGGAGACCCCGGCAAAGCTGGCGCCGTCAATGGCGACCTAGCCCTGATCTGGAATCCTTGTCAGGGACGGGCTTGTAGCTTGTTTCCACGACAAGATAGAGGGTGGCACCACTTCATGTTGTGACCCTCTTAGGGATGTCGCCAATAAGTGTCGGTGCAACTTGGGCGCGACTACGGATCTCATGTGTTTCTTGTTGACAACTCGTAGGAGGCGTATAGTGGTGCATATAGTGCCTTTTTAGTGTTTTCGGCTAGTTTGTTGTATATTCTGTTTTGATAAACTCTTGAGGATTTTTTTTAATATCATGTATTGTTTGTTGATAATCCTACACCTACAAAAAGGTCCTATGTAAGTTTAATTACCCTTCCATAAATCCCCCCCCCCCCACACGCACACACACCTGAATTCAACCAGGATGGGCCCCAACCACTAATCCTGACCCAATAATTACCTCCACATCATTTTTTACGTAAAATCCTCACGTAAGCTTTCATAGGTCTAGCATTACTCATTGTTTGTCGTGTGATTATATTAATATAAAGTGGGGTGAAAGACTATTTCGAGAGATAGATGCAAAAACCAAATGTTTATGTTCGTCATGAGAAAATAGCTCCATACTGTGAAGTGTATACCCCACAGGCCCCTTGCTTGAGCATTGGTCAGCACTATATTTCCTGTTTCAGTAAACAAATGTCATGTAGTGACTAGTGAGACGTGACTCCCCAGGTGTGTTGTTTCTTTATTTACCCCCGCTACGGTCCTGGGCAAGTAGTAGTGTTTTTTTCGGAGCCAAAGATTGCCAAGTCAGGCTACACACGTCCTTGGAAGCTGCAAGGCTTCTATGAATGGAAGAACTCTAAAGTGAATACTCCCTCCAGATGGGAATATAAGCCAGACATGAATTTTTAGGTCCCCAATTTGACTAGAGAAACATGTGTTGTGTGTAATAGAAGTTATAAAACGAATTTTCTAGACGTATACTTTTTGTGGCATATTGTACATGTTAGGGAAATTTTTGTTTTTGCCACTCTATCTTTTGTCCACTTTGCTTACGCCACTCTAAAATTTGACATCTCATTTTTGCCACTCTTAGCTTTTGACAATACATAATAAGTGTCATTCCATGGCAGAAGCAATGATTTTTCATTTCACTTTTGTCGCTATTAGCTTTCAACAATGTATCACAATTGCCACTCTAAATTTTTTGCATTTGCCATGGAATGACAATTGTGATGTATTATCAAAAGTTAAGAGTGACAAAAGTGAAATGTCAAATTCTAGAGTGGCATAAGAAAAGTGGGCAAAAGCTAGAGTGGCAAAAACAAAGTTTTCCCATGTTTCACTAGTTAAATCGACGACCTAAATTCTTGCTCTGACCTCTATTCCCATCCAAATGGAGTATTATTAATGTTGTTTGGTCACACTTGGTTATAACCAAATGCCTATGCAAATCTACATGGTTTGGAGTTTTCTCTCAGGAAATATGATTTGATTGTTTGTTGCTTCAAGTGAAGTGATGGATAGGTGGGACTTAATATAGAATGGACCAAAAACCTAGCCATTACACACTTTATTGCAAGGCCAATAACTAAGATTGTTCAAAAATTCCGACCAAAATGTCCGGAATATCTGAGCAGTTCAAGAAGAATGCACAAAGTGTTCTGAAGGTTCTATAGAGCAAGTGCACTGGAGCTTTGATTTACAAAGGTTTTGCAACAACTATTTCTAGATGTGATTTAGAGGATTATAGGGAAAAGATTCGTAGGTTTCAGATGGTGTAAATGCAAAGGGATAGTGGGCAAAAAGGAGGGCCTTTTCACGGCTTTGGAATTTGATTTTTAAGCATGTGTAAAAAGAAACTCAACTTAGCAACCTAGATCCCTTTTTGATAGTATTTGTATAACTATGGATTCAATGCGATCTTGAATCACTAAAATAAAAATCTAAGTCCATAGCTTGGCCAACACTTGTCATTGAAGAATTGAGGACGGGGTGTCATTCATTCCCTTGTTGCATATTTTGGAACATAATCTAAATACACATGATAATTTTTAGTGCCTTTTGTGATATGTTAACATTTATTACCAAAGTCCACCTAGGGGATTAGGATGCACTGTGAGATTTTCAGGCACTACAAGCAACTGCAGCCCCATCTGTAGAAAATGTTTTGTGGTCACCACCAATAGGCACTTACGACGATGCTTGGCTGTGGACGTGATCCTCACTTATGGTCGGTAAACTTGGGGTCATAAGTGGGATGGGCCGCTACTATAGGGTGGGCCGCCCCTCGGTGGAGGGAACATCTCCTGTGACATACGCACAGAGATCGGCGGTTCTCCGGTCAATAGAGGGGGATTTTTTCCATCAGTAGTGGCCCATACTATAGTTGTGACAATGAATAACCTAAGAGCCTGGCAAGTCTTTA